ACATTGTCAGAATAGTCCATCTGCCATCAGTGGTTCAACCGTAACATTATGAAGCGACCAGAATACTTTTTGTATTGTATCTTTTTGTATTTTGACGATGTCTTTCATACTTTTCTGGGCCTTGACCGTGTAATTTACTTGGCAGTCAATAGGACAGTCACAAGCCTCCCGGTTGTCATCCAAAATATCTTAAATTGTGTTCCGAAGACGAACAAAGCTTTTACGGGTTTGGAACAACATGGGGGTAAGTGATTAATGACAAAATGTTCTTTTTGGGGTGTAGTAACCCTTTTATTTTCCACAGAAAAATAAATTCATACAGGTTTAAAATGATGACAGAATTAAAATTTTTGGGTGATTTATATAATAATAATTCTACCTGTCCATGAGATTGTATGAAAGGTGATGAGAGGGTGACTGATGTGCTGCCTAAATTTCCACTGTGCTGAGTAGATTAGTGCTGACTTTGTTTTGTTCTGTTGATCTGTGTGCAGATTGTGATCGTGCAGTTTGGGGGCAAGCCCTTCAGCTGTGCCCCTCTCAATGTGGAGCAATGGCTGTGGTGCCTCTTCGTGGGAGTTGGAGAACTGCTGTGGGGTCAGGTAGGAGAGCAAGAGACATAAAAAACAAATAAGGAGAACAACTATCAAAGATCTTTGTGTGACTGAAGGTGTCGAGTATTTCATCAAGTTTATGATTTTTCAAGTTTAAGATATTTTTCCCCAAAGAATCTGATTTATTATCTGATATTTGGCCATTTTGAAATTATTGCATCAGCTGATAAATTTGCTAGACTGCATTATATCCTATATCCTTATATCCTGCCTAGAAGCACGTTTTAATATATTTTTAATTAAGAAAATATTAAAATAAATGTCAATTATTTTGTGTGCATCTAATATACTTTCCTTTTAAATTGTAATATACAGTTCACAACATGACCACAAGTATGTGAACACCCAAACTGTGTGCCACATGTGATTCATTTTAAACCAATGTCTATTAATTGGGAGTTTTATTGCTACAACAGCTTCTACTCTTCAGAGAAGGCTTTTTTCTACTAGATGTTGGAACATAGCTGTGCGAATTTGCTCCCATTAAGACACAAGAGCATCAGTGAGGTCAGGCACTGATGTTGAGTAATGAGGTCTGGCTCATACCGAGTTCATCCCACGGGTGTTCAGTTGGGTTCAAGTTCTTCCACACCAGACTCAGTGCAGCATTTTATTGGTGGACAAGCTCTTTGGTTCTTATCCTACTGTGAATATTTGTCAGTGGATGCATGATCGATTGTATGCATCTGAAAGTCTCATGAATTGATGTAGCCAAAATAGACAAACACATTAAAGGTGCTAAAAGCGATTTTTAATAGAATGCTACCCCATTGCCTGACAGATATCACAGACCACAGATTCATTGTTTAACCACTCAAAGCCAAGTTTTTTTTAAGATACTTTCTGCCTGTCAATCATTTTGCATATTCTTAGGGCAGTCCAAATATGGGCAGCAGGAATGAACTGGACCATGCAAGTTAAGCACCAATTCCAGCTTCATAAGCAGTTTTCAGTTTTGTCTTGCAACAATGTTATCTTGCTATCGCCAATTCTGACAGCTCAATTCAATTAAATTCAAGTTTATTTGTATAGCGCTTTTTACGATACAAATCGTTGCAAAGCAACTTTACAGAAAATTAAGTTTCTACAATATTTAGTAGTAGCTTATCAGTGGTGACTGTCAGTTCATGTACATATGGCAGAAATGTACAGAAAAATCAATTAAAGATGTAATCAAACAGACAATGAACACTATTAACAGCAATTATTATATGATGCAATCAAACTTATAGCAAAGTTTGGTAGTTCTGTATGTTGTTTCAGGGTTGGCATCATCTGAGGTCCTCAGCTGTATCTTTGTAGGGTGGAGTTTTGGGAAAAGGGGGTGTGGCTAATTCCACAGCTTAATCTGATAGAATGGGAGTACTTTTAATTAGAAGGGGCGTCTATGTTTTTGGCCATAGTACCATCCTGGTGCTGCATGGGACTTGAAAATGTGGTTACTCAGACTTGATAGAGCTGAACAATAACTTTGCAGATATTAATTGTGCCGATTGTGACTGATATGATAAGTATTTTCTAATACTTATTTTCATTTTAAGGCTGATTTAGAATATTTTGTCTAAATAAATTAATAATTAAACACTAAAACTTAAAATGAGTTAAGTGAATTTATACATCAAATTGTAATTGTACAGGATGAAAAATAGGAAAAAGAGCATGCACAGTTAAATATGTCTAATAGGCTACCGTTTAAATATTTTCAACATATTTTTTCAAATATTTTCAAAGCTTTTAATGTTACTCATGCTCAGCAAAACTGCATTTATTTGATCCAAATGACAGTAATATTACAATTTAAAGTAACCGTTTTCTATTTTAATATATTTTATAATGTAATGTATTTCTGTGATTGCGATGCCATCAATATATGGTTTTGACGGCCTCAGTGATATCTTTGTAGGGCAGAGTTTTATTAATAGGGGGTGTGTCTAATTCGGTTTCAATCAGTTCCAGATTTGCAGCATTTTTAAAAAGATGAGGATATCTACATATTTTTGCCCATGTATTATATAAACTGTATATCCAGCACTGCTCACCATCGTACAGTATCAGTCATTCAACTCCTCTTAAACGAATTCTTATTTCCATCTCAGGTGATCGCCACCGTGCCCACTAGTCACCTGAAGTGTCTGAAGGAGGCGGGCCATGGGCCAGGGCTCGACGAGATGACGGAGGATGAGCTGGCCGAGGACGAGGATGAGATAGACCACGCTGAGAGGGAGCTACGCAGGGGGCAGATCCTCTGGTTTAGAGGCCTTAACCGTATCCAGACTCAGGTGCTGTGCATGAGACCCCTTACCTCTGACCAATCAATCCCTCTGGTAGAACTATTTAGAGCTCTAGTCACCTAAGATGGTTTCCACAGACAGTAGAACTTATGTCTCCTCAAAGAATGCTCTTTTGCTTTTCCTTTCGTTTCCTCCTCTTCTCTCCTCGCTCTCTCTAGACCCTCTCTGAATCACCAACATTAGTTCATCCTTGCCTTCTTCCTCTTCTCTTTCCTTCTCTCCTTCGCTACTCTATCTCGGTCTCTGCTTCCCACTGTTGGGACCCTTTACTAAATGCGTATAGATTTCCCCCAACAAGAATCTATAACATTCCCTCCCCCTTCCCGTGCTCAGAGCTCTGTTTTGTCACTCTATTATGTAACTCGAGTCCTTTAAAGTCCTAATTTATTGCTTAGTAACTCATTTGGCTCAGAGTCACAGCACAGAATCAGTCGCAGCCCGGCGTACTGCATGGGACTTGAGAATGTTGCTCCTCAGACTTGATAGAGCTTGAAAGATTTGATGAGGATCTGAACAATGTTTGACTCTGGAGATGCACCAATATTAAAGATCTGGTTGATATGATAAGCTGCTAATTATTTTCATGTTATGGCTGTATGTAATTCTATACTATTTTGTTTAAGATAACAAAACACTAAATTCATTTTAAATGCTAAATGTGAATTTCATATTGTACATTATAATGTACAGTAAGGGGTTCAGAAGTTTGGGGTCAGTAAGGTTTTCTTTAAAAATATTTTTGTCTTTTAAGTCTTTAATGCTTACCAAGGCTACATTTATTTGATCAATATACAGTAAAAACAGTAATACTGTCAAAAATTATTATTATTATTATTTCTAATAATTTTTTTTTCTGTTTAACATATTTTAAAATGTAACTTATTGCTGTGATTGCAAAGCTGATTTTTCAGCATCATTACACCAGATCCTTCGCCATCACCTGACCAATTAATACTAGCACTTACTATTCTATTCTATTCTATTCTATTCTATTCTATTCTATTCGTTTTGGTCTAATTTATTTATTTAAAAAAACCTTGCTATGTGCACTGTGCTAGACTAACTGAGACTTGTCAGAGCACTTGTATATTGTTGCTCTCGTTGATCTGATTGCTTCTACTTTGTAAGTCACTTTGGATAAAAGCATCTGCTAAATGACTAAATGCAAATGTAAATGTTCAGAAATCATTCTAATATGATAATATATCAATGTTGAAAACATTTGTGCTGCTTAATATTTTTGTAAAAACTGAGATATATTTTTTCAGGATTCTTTGATGAATAGAAAGTTCAAAAGAATAGCAAAAGTTGAAAGAGAAATCTTTTGACATTTTAAACTTTACTGTCATTATCATCAATTTAATTTGTCCTTGCTGAATAAAAGTAGTAATTTCTTTCAGGAATAAAAAAACTGACCCCAAACTTTTGAACAGTAGTATATCTGCTGAAACAATAAGATGAACTTCTAATATCTACTCATATAGTACTGATTTATAGTGAATCCCTACGCATCAAGGCTTGTGATATTATCATAAATGTGCCTACTTTAGTTATAGTATAAGGTGAGAAGAATATATTAGAATTAGTTCTTATTTTGATTTGATCTGTATATATAATCAATCAAATGTGTATTATACTATCTTGTTTCTCTGTCCATTTTCTCTCTACAATTTTCAACTCAGCTCACAGGTTTTTTATTTATTCTTGAAGTAGCTTGATTTGAGTCCAATGCTAAATTAATTTCCCTGAGTAGAACTGAATTTTTCTTATGCTAATCGTAGTTCTCGGTCTGGACTCCATCCATGACTTTAAGTGAGATTTTCTCTCTTTATGTGTTTGGGTTTGCCTAGAATTTTTGTGTGCTTGCTCTTTAAATTGTGCTAGAAGAAACTTAATAGCGTCTTTGTGGAAAGATCTGTTGTGTGGTGCACTTGTGACTTGTTAGCATTACTTTTGTTTCCTGAGCAGAAGGTACATATATGATATTAAAGGTCAGCAGGCATAGAGGAAGGTGGGTCGTGGTGCCTGTTGGTTCATGGCACTGTAACTTAAGAAAGAGCTTTTATAACAGAACGCTTTCAAAGCACATGCATGCATGATGCAGCACTCACTCTTTTGGCCATGTTCTTGCCAATATACACCATCAGTGAGCAGACTTGATGGGATAGTAGAGCATTATATAGACATTTGTTTTAAATTTGGAGTGCCCGGTATGGATTGCCGAAGTGCTTGTAAAGCTCCTTACAAGGTTTCCATCGATTCCCTCACTGCTCGACACTGAGTAGGCAAAACACGACACACATTATAGTGGCTGGCCTCATATCATCAGTCAGCCTAATCTAATCATGGCTTTCATCCTGCGTGACTCCACTGAGGAGAGCACCTCCATTTCTCAGTGTTGTGTTTTTGACACAGGGTATTTGCAGATTAATTATCGATGAGGTCTTATGCAAGATGATTGCATATTCTTATGGCATTTCCCATTTCAGTTTGGCCTGGTTTAACTTGTTCTTAAGGGCTGCATGTCAAATTGATTCAGTGCACAAAGTGAGTTTCAGAGAAGTGAAACATTTGGGGTGGTGTGGTTGCAGAGGCATCCATTTGTTGTGTTGGCTTTTATTACATGTAATGTTATAAAAATAGCGTCTGCAAAATGACTAAATGTAAATGTAATGTTCAGTGAACTTATCTTGTGCGGTCTATTTGATCTTTTAACAAAGCCATTTAGAAACAAAAGAATACATCCGCACTCTATTTCTGGAAAAACAGAACAGAATCCTGATAAATTAACTGACAATGCAGCGCGTTTCTTTAAGTGAAATGCCGTTTGCAACCAGTTTATTTATTCTTGAGAGAATATGATATTCAGGACTTGATTTTTTTAATTAGAAAATGGCTGAATAGTGGAAATGATATAACAGGTCTTAGTGGTCAGCGATTAGTTGTTTTAGTGACAGAGCAATTTATTACGTTTTGATGAATGATTATAAAGACTTTTATTTTCTTTGTTATATTATGCACCATTAAATACTTCTTAATAAGACCCAGTCCATGTACTAAGAAAGTAAACTGGGTTCAATTATTATTTCATCATAACTTTCATTATGATCCTGGTTGGAGGTCCTTAAAGGGGTAGTTTACCCAAAAATTATGTCATCGTTTACTCAGTCTCAAGTTGTTTTATATATGATTTCTTTCTTCTGTGGAACCCAAAAGGAGAAATTCTGAAGAATAATTATGCCGGCTACCACGTTTCCACATAGTGACCCTGTCTGTGAAGCCCCAAAAAAGACAAAAACATCATGTGCTTTCCAACTAACAGCTTTGTGTGAGGAATAGACTGAACAAAAATTAAATGGTTGTTTTTCACATCAAAAAATGACAGCAAATTTAGAACGACACGAGGTAGAATAAATAATGACAGAACTTTCATTTTTGGGTGAACTATCCTTTTAATGTCTAAAGATGTACCCCTTAGTACACAATGGCAACATAGCTTTGTTTTCTCCTACCGAGTGAAGTATCACAAGCATATTTTCTTCTCGCTCTTCTCCCTCCTTCTTGCTCTTTCTCTCTCTTTTTTGCTCTGAAGTGTGTATGTGATGTGGTTCTCTCTCTCTCCTGCAGATGGAGGTAGTGAGTACATTCAAGAGAAGTGGTTCGTTTCAGGGTGCAGTGAGACGTCGATCCTCTGTGCTCAGCCAGCTCCATGACGTAACCAATATTTCTACCCCCACTCATGTAGTTCTCTCCACTGCCAATGCAAGCGCCGCTCCCGGGAGTGAGTTCCCTGCTTTCCCTACCTGTATCAGACACGACACTCACACACTCAAGAAACATTCACAAAACATCAAAACTCTTACAAACACACTCACACACGCACCAAGCATTTCTCCTCACACACAGCAGCACATGAAACACCCCATCGTGTGTGCCGTGGTACTTCTGTTCTGTATTTGAAACCTTCTCTGTAGTTGTCTCTCTGTGATTGAGTGGCTCTTTGCAAGATGGCCTGTCTGGCTTTGACTGATCCTCTATGAGCCGTTGTTTGTGTCTCCTCCCTGAGTCCCTCCTCTCCTTCTCTCGATTTCTGTGTGCTGTCTTGCTGTGTCGGGCCTTTTCTCTTGCTGTTGGGTTCTTCTTTGTTGTCTAAAGGTGTTGGTTTTGTTTTCAAATCCCCGTCTCTCGATAAGCCATTCTCTGTCTTCTCTCTGTCCAAAACTAAACCTATTACCTACAACACAATGTGTAAAAAAAAAATCAGCGTTAGTGTTGAGTGCACAGCAGAAAACATTTTTTTTTAAATTTGATTTATTTTTTTAAAACTGAAGTGGTTGCTTAACAAAGCCATTTAGAAACAAAAGAATGCTGCAGTGACATCCACACTCTATTTGTGGAAAAACAGAACAGAATCCTGTTAAATTAACTGACAAATTAAGGCAGCGTGTTTCTTTAAAGTGAATATGAAATGCCACTTGCAACCAATTTATTTTTTCTTGAGTGAATGTGATATTGGATGTTATATGGGAAATGACTGAATAGTGGAAAGTGATCTTGATATGACAGGTCTTGGTGGTCAGCGAAAAGTTGTTTTAGTTATTACATTTTGATGAATGATTATAAAAGACTTTTATTTTCTTTGTTATATTATGCACCAATAAATTATTCTCAATAAGACCCAGACCATGTACTAACAAAGTAAATTGGATCAATTATAATTTCATCATGACTTTCATTATGATCCTGGTTGCAGATCCTTAAAGGGGTAGTTTACCCAAAAATGAAAATTATGTCATCATTTACTCAGCCTCATGTTGTTTTATGTATGACTTTCTTTCTTCTGTGGAATACAAAAGGAGAAATTCTTAATTAATTATGTTGGTTCCCATGTTTGTGAAGCCCCAAAAAGGACAAAAATGCCATGTGCTTTCCAAGTAGCTAGTCAGCCGCTTTGTGTGAGGAACAGACTGAACAAAAAAAAAATGTGT